GGAAGTATGATATCATTTTCTTGGATCCTATAGAGACAGATAAATCAGGAGAATATTTATATGTTGCATAGAAATGAAGCCAATAGGCTCCCCATAGTTTCCATGACACAAAAGGTTCTATCATCACAGTATTACAGACATTCCTCACACTTATTCTCCAAAAAAGAAGGGTACTGACGGAATTAGCTTCCATGTGAGGTGGAGACACAGGAAAAGGAATTCCCAAATAGTGAGAATAACCACCCATGGGTCACTCCGCAATCTCATCCCAGTCAAGTGAGGTTTGCTAAAAAAATGATCACCAAGCTGTATCTATATCCCAAATGAGAAAAATCTCAGCAGATCTTGCATCCTCCACAAGCCAACATCACCCCCAAAGAAAAGAAAAGAAACAGCTAATCCAAGCTAGTGTGCATCGAGTTAACTTCTATCATATTCATCCACACAATCAGCCTTCCCTTATATCATCCAAGAACATAGATAACTCAAAGTTTGCTGAGATGCTTCAAATACTCTGCTCAAATCACTACTTATGCTGATGTTGCACACACACTATATGCTGCATGCAACAGTCATGATTGCTCTATTTGGCACCTCAAAGAACAAAAATCTAGTCTTTATGGAAGATTCTAAACACCAACTGGAGACATAATTCAAGTAAAATAGATGGTAGTAAAAGAAACATGCATGTATGAGTTTTCATTAATCTATTTATGAAAATTAAAATTAAAATTAAGAGAGAAACATACAACTTACACTCAAATTATGTTTCAAACACATAATCTAAGCTCCTCTTAAAAGTCAAATAAAGAGATTAAAACAAGGTTCAACTAACCTTTTGGAGCTTCTCTAAGATGTTATCTTCATAAGCTTGATGATTAATCCCAGAAAAAATGTTTAGGCCATCAGATTCTCTTGTAGGAATCGTTGTTGCTGCGACCTTTTTTCCATAAGGTAAAACTAGAAGAGGATTTGAAAGATTTCCATACACATTCCCCAGAGCAGCAACCTAACAAAAAAACAACATAAGTAATTGCAAAAATCCAATGCCCAGACTCCATGTTAGTAAATCGAGACTTTGATTGGAAAAGTAAACTTACAGCTGCTTCTTCAGTTGCCATTTCAACAAGAGCTTGGCCTCTTTTTTTCTTTTCCTTGTTACTTCTAATAACAACATCTTTAACCTCACCAAACTTCGAAAACAACTCTCTCAGCCTCTCAGCACTATAGCCCTCGCTATCCACTTTCTCCCATCTAACATTAAGTATCTTCTTCTCATCTTCCTCGAACCTACTCTCCTTTACTCCCACCGTCTCTTTCTTCACCACAGGCACACCTTTGTTAGCAAACATGGCTCTTATTTTATCCACTTGTGCTCTCAACTCCTTGTCAATCTTCTCCACTCTCCTTTTTCCTCCTGCAGCAGGATCAACAGCAGATGCAGCACGTTCCCTTTCTTCAAGATCAGACACCATCCTCCGCCTCTTGGCATCCTGCTGACCCCGACGGGCACGCTGCTCTCTTTTAGCTCGAAGAAGATCATCAAACAATTTACGGGCTTTCTCGTCCTTGAGAACCTCGTATGACAACTTCAGCTTCTGGAAATTTTCATGAGCGTTCGGATCATCCGGCCTCTTATCCGGATGCAACACTAAAGCCTTCAGTTTATACCCTTTCGCTATTTCTTTTTCAGTTAGCTTCGCCCCTTCCTCCCCAGAAGGTAGCCCCAACACATTATAGTGATCAACATCCATGGTTTTCGCAAAATACTAGATAACTGCAAGTCAAAGCACAATATGTAACGATTCAGCTCACCCAATTATCGAGGAAACGAAACCCTAAAACGAACCCAGTAAAACCCTGAAACACAGCTACTCGGCTCAATTATCGAAGAATGAAAACCTAGGAAACCTGAATTTAATTAAAGAAACCCTAACAATAATCAAGAACAGAAATAAGGGGATTGGTTTTAGAAGATTGAATATAGATGACGTACCTCACGATATTGAGAGAATTTTAATCGAGTTCTGCGTGTGGCAGAGAGAAACAGGATCGCACGGGAAGCAGAGTTTGAGCGGGTCGGGTTTAACCGGGATTTATAATAAAACGTCTTATAATGATTTTGGGTCGGGTAAGTCGGTGCGGACTCGCCTGTGTGTTCCTAGTATGGGCCTATTTCTATTAGGCCCAAAAACTGTTTAACCCTTGATCATGTAGCGTTTTTGTTTAAATAGAAAAAAATGTAGAGGAAGAAAATAGAGATATGGGTGTGGATATATCAGGCCCAAACAATGTTTAACCCTTTGGCATAGTGCCTTTTAATATTATTTAGTTGTATTTTAATATTCGATGGTTAATAGTCAATAAAAAATAAATATTAAGTTCATGTGAATATTGAATTTTATTATAACTCTCATCCACGATTAAGAAAAAATAATCAAAATATAAATTTAATAACAAATTTATTTTAAAAGACCTATCATTAGAGAAACATTTATGACAAGAGACGAAAAGAAATATGAAAATGTATAATTGGGTGTGTGTTCCTAATGGAGTCGGGGGCATGGTGCCTTTCCCATCCACGTTTGAATATAAGGAAGAAAATGCATTTTATATTGTCTCCATTGAATTGGATTTTTTCGAACACAAATGGGTAATTTATCTTAGTGTATATGGAACATAAACCTTTATTCAAGGGATTTCACCTACAATGGTCGGGAGCAAATTGATTTAAATTTAATTATGTGACATAGCACAACTTTCTAGCTATGTTGCTCGTTTAATTGTGTTTTTAATTTCTTTTAGTTTTTAGTTATTTTTTTATATTTTTAAATTGTTTTGATGTATTTATGTCAAAAATAAAATTTTAAAAATAAAAAATATTATTTTAATATATATTTTTTAATAAAAAATAATTTAAAAAACAATTTTATCGGTATAATGAGATTGATAATAAGAAAAGGTCTTCCAGCTTTCAAGTCTCGACTAATTGATGGCTGATACAGATTCAGAAAAGGAGTAACTGGAGAAGGACTCCTACAATTTACATGGTCCAAGCTAAAATCATCAAGATCATTCACACTCGTGAAGAAAGCAGCCCAACCCCAGAGATCCAGATTTTATTGCCCTCGACTCCTCCATCCTCCTCGGCGTCTATCATAGAAAAATAAAGAGCCCTAGAAGTCAAGTTCATCAAAATTTGATTGCTTTTCTGACTCGAACCATGTGCAAATACTATAGAATACCCCGTCTATCAAAATAACTGGAGTTCGTAGTTTCTTTCCCTTTCTTTCCTTTATCTGCATGCTTCTGAATTAATGCCCAGTAGTAGCAGCCTTTAGATTGTCAGTGTAGTGAAGAACTTTTAAGGTTTAAAGTGTGGGCATGTCTTTGTATTTTAAAAGTTTTTTTTTGAAAAGATTTATATTTTATATGTTTATATTTTAAATTATTTTTTATATTTTAGTATTGATATCAAAAAAATTTTTAAAAATAATTTTTTAATATATTTTAAAAGCAAAAATATTTTAAAAAATAATCACCACCAAAATATAAATAAATAAAAAATTATTTACCACAAGATTGCTTTTGAAAAGTTCCTTTTCAGAGTTAAATTCTTAAAGAAATTGCACCAGTGGAGCTGCCGTAAAGTGATTTCCGATTAATTATTTTTAAGCTCATGAATTCAACTCTTCAGGTCAAAAGTCTTTTCAAATAAGAGAATTGGAAAAACTTGAAGAATTGAATCCATTTTCACCGAGTCATAATGTTTCAAAAAATTGAAGAAGAAAAAAAATGCAGGGATATAAATTATTTATGGAAACATGTTCTCTATATATATTTTTTTTAGAGATATAAAAATTCATTCTAAAATTATTTTTTTAAAAAATATTTTTATCTTTTTATCTTCATCGTCTCTTCAAATGAACACGTTTCTTTATTTATTATTATTTTTTCTTCCACCCTACAACAATATGACCAAACATTATTTTATTTTGTTAGAAAAAAGAAACATCAATGTCTCTGCACATGTAATCCCCTCACTAACTAAATTGGATATATGGATCATGAGAGGACACGTTTGCTCCAGTAAGTGCATATCTGGTGTTGTAATGTAAAGTATTCTAAAAAAATTATTTTTTATTTAAAAATATATTAAAATATTTTTTATTTTTAATATTAACACACCAAAATTATTAAAAAAATATAAAAAAACTCAATATATATTTTTTCGAGTCCAAGATATATATAACTAAAAAAAAAATTATTAGTTTTTTATTTTATTATTATACATCTTAGCTCTCGAGATTCACAATAATATTTTTTTAATTATCATTTTATTATATCTAGTGGTGAATTTTTTTTATCATCCCTTTTATGCTGCAAAAAAAATCAGTCTGGTCCGCTGTGAATCGGGTTTGAACTATCTAGTTAAGTTTCTATATCATCAGGCACACATATTTTAATATCTTAATATATATTTTTGCAGGGATTGAGAATGAAACATGCCATTTCTCCGACATTGTATTTCACACCCCTCCTAATCAAATTGTCTGAAAGATACCGATTCAATGTCTTGATAGTCAAGCCATCTAATTGTCTTTATTTTATAACCATACATAGTAAATACACAAGATAAGATCGTAAATTTAGATACCCGAAACCATTAAACCAGATATAATGATGAATTTAAAAAATAAATAAATCAACTACTCACATCACAACAGCAATTATTATCGGTATTAAACAAACTTGATCCTATAAATGGACCCAGCATCTCGCCAATAAAAAATCTGACCATGTAAATTTATCCGGGAACTTGCTAATTTAAAATATCGAGTGGCGGAATTTTTTCTTGAACTCATTTAAAGAGAAAACCCAACCGAGACTCGGTTGAATTAATTTGGAGAATTTTTTAAGATTTTTCTTTTTTAAATAACGTCATTTTATTTTTTAAAATAAAATAATATTTTTTAGAAATGACCCATCAATCAACAACCGGCTGAGAACTACGCCATCCACCGGTGCTGAGGGTTCACGCACAAGACTGTACCCTACCGCACAAAACCCCCCCGCCACACCCCGCCATAGCACGCAGAAATACGCAAAACAAAACACTATCCGTCTTTCTTGCACATATAGAAGTAGACTTTACTAGTTGGTAGCAGAGAAAATATTACTCTGAAAGAATCTACACGATAAGAGAGAAAGAGTCTCCTCTACTCCTTCACCTTTTTCGCAAAATCTTCTTCAAGAATTAGATTAATGGAGGCAACGGCAGCGGCGGCGTGGCAGCCACAGGAAGAAGGATTCAAGGAGATCTGTGGATTACTAGAGCATCAGATTTCACCAACTTCAACCGCCGACAAGCTTCAGATTTGGCAACAACTTCAAAACTTCTCTCAATTCGCCGATTTCAATAATTACCTTGCCTTCATTCTTTCTCGCGCCGAGGTAGCCAGTTTTTTCATCAATTCTTTGTCGATAGTGGAGAGCATCGGTAATTTCTGAATTTAATTTATAATTGTTTAAATTGCAGGGGAAATCGGTGGAGATTAGGCAGGCGGCGGGATTATTGTTAAAAAACAACCTAAGAAATGCGTATAAAACTATGACGCCCGCGTATCAACAGTATATAAAATCGGAGTTGTTGCCGTGTTTAGGAGCGGCGGATAGGCATATAAGGTCGACGGTGGGGACCATTATTAGTGTTGTTGTTCAACTGGGTGGAATTTTGGGGTGGCCTGAGTTGCTGCAAGCTCTCATTACTTGTTTGGATAGTAATGATCTTAATCACATGGAAGGCGCTATGGATGCTCTGTCCAAGGTATTGTTGATTGCTTCTTCTTTGAAAGAGTTAGTGTTTTAAGTAAATTATTAGTGTTTGCTCTCCGGCGCGCGCGCGCGATGTTGATGAATTTGGACAAAAAGAAAACTTATAAGAATGTAGATGGTATGGTTTCTGTGGGAAATATATTAATTAGAGGATGTGTTTTCTTGTTGAGCAGTGATAACTGCTGTATTAAGGCAATGTTCTCTTGGTGTAGATTTGTGAGGACATTCCACAAGTTTTGGATTCAGATGTGCCTGGGTTACCTGATCGACCCATTAAGATCATCCTTCCTCGATTATATCAGGTTAGATGGGTGTTTTCTCAGAGCTCTGAGATCATTTTGGAGGTTTTTCTTGTTTATGATCCCTACCAAGCTAATTTTGTTAACCTGGTTTGCCATGAACAGTTCTTCCAGTCACCTCATACCTCACTGAAAAAACTTGCGTTGGGTTCTGTGAATCAATACATTATGTTAATGCCTGCTGTGAGTATTTTTTGTTACATCCATCTTGTTTTCCAGTAACTGCTAGATGCTATTTTGATTCTCAGAGACAACTGGTAAATACATATTTAAATTTTTTGCAGGCTCTTTATGCATCTATGAATCAGTATCTTCAGGGTTTGTTTGCTCTTGCTAATGACCAGGCTGCAGAAGTGCGGAAATTGGTGAATACTTTCTCATTGCCTCACCATGATTGGATCTAATTTACTTCAAAATAGAAATTTAGCCGCTTTTGATTTTGTTCTGTATCAGTTGCTGTATTCTGACTGTAAAATGTAGGGTTTTAATGGTACTATTTGTCGGGCTGCACATATCATATTATGTTTCCGTTCCTAGCACAGAAAAAATAATTGAAATATAATCTTTGCTAACTATTCAGATTATTGCTTTTCTGTTTCACAAGTTTGGCTGTGCTGATCCATATTTTCTAACTCCGTGATGAACAGGTTTGTGCAGCTTTTGTACAGCTAATTGAGGTCCAGCCATCTTTCTTGGAGGTGAGTATCTTGTTAATTTAATCTCATGTATGTTCTTTCTGATTGGACTTGTACTGTCTGTTACCTCAGTTTCAAGTCCCTTATTAGTTGTTTTTTACTTGCCTTCTTGCTCTATTGAGCGTCTCAGTTTTATGTTATGTAATTGCCTTATGTGCCATAATGTTTTATGCTCTCACTGTGCCTTTTTATTTTCCATTGATGTGACTTTTTCACTTTTTTTAGCCACATTTGAGAGATGTAGTTGAATATATCTTGCAAGTCAACAAGAATGGCGATGATGAAGTGGCTCTTGAAGCCTGTGAATTCTGGTAAACCTCCATTCCATAAATTACATGTTTGATAATTTTGTAGCTTTGACATCCTGGGTTGGAGAATTGGTTGTAGACACCATAGTAACTTGAAGTTGATTCCATTATGTATGAGATGGGATGTAGATTGCCCCCCTAATCTATTTTTTTTGTAGTTCTGGGTTTTTTTTTTTTTGCTTCCAAACTGTTGTTGGCAATATGAAACAGAAGTGCAAGTGGCAGTGTTAGTATCGGGACTGGAAAAGAACTTTTGCTTCTTGCCTCTCTCCTGCATTAACTTCGCAGATGTCAAAAACAAAAAAAATTGGATTGGTGGTCGTTTTGATTTGGGTTTGGAAAAAGAAGAAGAAGAGGGGGTTTAATGATTTACATGAATTCAAGTTGGGAAAAATAAATTTTGAGGCAACCGATTGTGTGACATCTTTTATGAACTGTATAGTTGAAAATGCATGAGACCTTGTTGTAGTGTTCGGGGTGGTATTGTAGTGAACTAGTAATGGTGTCAGTGGTAACATGATGGTGGTTTGTGATGGCGCTGATGTCCGAAGCACTCTTAGAGTGTTGGTGGCATTGATGGTCTGGTGATGTTTCTGTAAAGCTAATTTTAGCCCCCCTCTTTAAACTAGCTCCCTAGGTTAACAATTAGTCGTCATCTGGTGTTTTAATCTTAAATCTTGGCCTGTTTAGCATTTCATGTCCTGTTCCAAACTGTTTTAATCATGATCAACAAGATTAATATTTGATTCTCTTTAACCCTGCAAAGGCAACTTAAGCTGCATGTGAGCTTATTTGCCACTGCTGAACATTTGCATGCCTTCTCAGTTATTATAACTATTTATATGTCTTTCACTTCACACTGCCTTCTTAATATCAATTATAATCGGCAGGTCTGCATACTGTAATGCTCAGTTACCACTTGAGTACTTAAGAGAATTCTTGCCACGTCTGATTCCGGTACTGCATAAACCCTTTATACATTTGTTACCTTATTTTCATCAGAGTTACATGCAACTTTTTTTAAAACCTCTGGCCAAACTTTTTCAGGTTTTGCTGTCAAACATGGCTTATGCTGATGATGATGAGTCGCTCGCTGAGGCTGAGGTAACTCTTTTGTGTTGTTTTATGTTTGTGGACAATTCTGACTAGGTATTTGTTATAATTCTTAATTTACCTGGCATCAATTCATTGTTGCAGGAAGATGAGTCTCTCCCAGACAGGGATCAGGTTCAATCTGTTTATTCTTGTTGTTCAATCCCAGGGTGTTCTAGTATGTTATATTTCATGACAGATTTCATGCTTGAAGTATTGCATCTGAAACTATATTTTTTTCTCTTTTGGTATAATTTCTGCTCTGCAGGATCTGAAACCTCGGTTTCATACATCACGATTTCATGGATCAGATAGCGTGGAAGATGATGTAAGTTACAAAAATCTTGACATGTTTATTCAGTGTGCTTCTCTAGTTTATGATTTGGTAAACTTATTTAAATTTGTGGCGCTTTAGGTGTAGAAAGACAAGGTCATTGATGAAAATCCTTCTAAATCAATATTTTGGTACAATTAACAGGATGATGACATAGTGAATGTGTGGAATTTAAGGAAATGCAGTGCAGCTGCTCTTGATATTCTCTCAAATGTGTTTGGAGATGAGATTCTTCCAACATTGATGCCTGTTGTTGAGGTAGTTAACTTATTTGGTGTTAGATGCATTAATTTCATTTGAAGCACTATTTTTGCATTTTACTTTTCATCTCCATTGTGCATTAGTAGAGATGTCTCCCTGCAAGTGCTATTGCCTTGATTTGTTACCCATCTTTTCCTTATTATTGTCCCGATGATTAACTGTTGAAACACTTAGTCCTCTTGGTTGATCAAAAGATCATATGGTTCCCTGGATCAAGCTGTTTATTTGGATCTTGCAAGTTTGATACATATTGTTAAGAACAAAGGCACTAAGGCAACGTACATCTATTATGTGTACAGGTTTAATGGCACATATTTCTATGGTAAGTTAGCTTAGAGATTGTGGGTGCAGTTGGCCCTCGGCATGTTATCTCTAGAGAATTTATTTTGAGCATAGTGACAGTTGTAATACAATAAATCTTGTTATACCAATGGTTATTTAGCCCCTCATGCATACATAGCAGGGAGAGGCTAGATCTTTAGTTTGAGTCTTGCTTTTGCAATCTAAAGAACCGGAAAAGAAACCATGAGACCTCTTGTGAAAGAGCTGTTTTCTTCAACCATATTTATTATGTTATCACTATAGATCTCGTTATTCAAGAGATGTATGCTTATATCTATATGCTCAAGTTGAATTGCCATTGTAATTTAAAAAATATCTGCAGGCTAAGTTAGCTGCTAGCGGTGATGAATCCTGGAAAGACAGAGAAGCAGCAGTTTTGGCACTTGGTGCTGTTGCTGAGGGGTGCATTGATGGTCTTCATCCTCATTTGTCTCAGGTGATAATTTTTTGAAGTCTTAAAGCACATGACCTGGGTTTTGAGTATAATGGATGCAGCGATGACTTTATGTTTTCTAGGAAATCTGTTAAGTCATAACTAGTTCAGTATGGAAAGAGAGAAATATGATAGACTTTTGAAGGCGTTAAGTGTCTGATTTCAGAAATCAAATCTGAAATTTGAAGGAAATTACATATTTGGTGCATGGTGGCCTTCAAGTGCCTTATGCAGTTAATGCATAACTTGATTTTTTTTTCATTGTTTGTTCTCTTGATCTCATCCATGTACGTGGCTTGAAGCCACCTCTATCTCTTTCTCCAAGTGAAGTTTTATTAGAAATGGCTGTGATTTTGCAGTTGCTGTATTGTCATCCTTGTATCTTCTCTGTTACACCATTTTATATTGTCATCCTTTTTCTTTGTAGTAGAGTGTTATTTTGCTAATTTGGTGATTCAGAATGTTTAGTCAATGCCAGAAATTTAAGTATTTTGTGCATGCAGATGGTGGAATTCCTTATTCCTCTATTAGATGACAAGTTCCCCCTCATACGAAGCATTTCTTGTTGGACAGTTTCCCGATTCAGCAAATACATTGTGCAGGTACAGTTCATTTTTGTTAATGCAGCTGTTTTTTCACAACAAGTGTGTTTGCTTCCTGTCTATATTCCCTACAACTTTATTGTCCTGCTTATTGTTATAAGGATGAATGATCCATTGTCGCTTTTGATTCTGTATTACTCAGTTGAAAATTCTTCTCTTATCTATTCAGGAAAGCGGCCATCAAAAAGGCTATGAACAATTTGACAAAGTTCTTATGGGTCTTCTACGGAGAATATTGGATACAAACAAGCGTGTGCAAGAGGCTGCTTGTTCAGCTTTTGCAACACTAGAAGAGGTCCTAATAGGTTCATTTTAATTGTTTCTTCTATTTTCAATTATTTACATATATCTTAATGCTTTATTTGCATTTGCAGGAAGCTGCTGAAGACTTGGCACCACGTTTAGAGATTATTTTACAGCACCTCATGTGTGCTTTTGGGAAATATCAGGTTCCTTCTTGACACTAAAGCTCCTCTACTGTTAAAATGATTAGATGTAATTTGGATGATTTCATTGATAAGTTCATAAACAGCTTATGGTTACTGTTAGACTCCACCTTTCATTTACATGTGTTTTTTGATCCAGAGACGGAATCTTAGAATTGTATATGATGCTATTGGAACTCTAGCAGATGCTGTTGGAGCAGAACTGAATAAGGTTTCAACATCATGTGATTGATCCCCCATTCTTGCTCCCTCAATTTCCTCTCCAGTCTCCTTTCAAGTGATGCATACAGTCGAGAGTCTTACTTGAAATTTAACTGGATTGATTATCTTGGTAATTTGCAGCCTGCTTATCTTGAAATTTTGATGCCACCATTAATTGCAAAGTGGCAGCAGCTTTCAAATTCAGACAAAGATCTCTTTCCCCTGCTGGAGTGCTTTACATCCATAGCACAGGTGTGATTAATTTTCGCTTTTTTGACCTTTATCCCTGTCCCTGTTGTTCACATGGTGCCAGTATTACATTAGTGAAAGATGTGTCCTTATATGCTTTCAGATTTTATGGAAAGATGGGGATATGTTATTAAGATCGATAATCATCCCACCCTAATATATACTTGTGGTCATGGATTTAAGGCATTTTTTAAAAATCCATAGCTCAGACTATTGTGGGATTAAAGATGCACATTTCTTCTTTTTCCAGGCATTGGGTACAGGATTCTCTCAATTTGCTGAGCCTGTATTTCAGAGGTGTATAGCCATAATTCAGAGCCAACAATTAGCGAAGGTTTGAGCAAATTCATACAAAGTTTATGATTCAGAAGTGATGATTTGTTTTATGCTCATAGTAATTTAAATTCTGCTTTTGAGTCGTTTTTATCTCTGATTGTACTTTATGCGATTGAGTGCTGGCCACTACTGTTCAACAGTTTATGCACTACTAACCATGTTTTGTAGCTTCAACTTTCAATCAGGCCTCACATTTTATTGCCTATTTTCTCATTGACTGTTTTAGTAGTAACCAATGAGCATTGGTTGCTCTTTACTATCAAGAGGCCAAGCCTGCACATGTTGTGCTGCATTGATGGACCACCATGTGAAATTATGACCTATGTTACTCTTTTGTTGCCCAACAAATGCAAATAAAAAGTTTGCTTGCTCAACCCATGACTTCATGATTTTATTCTAAAAGGAATTTATATCCCCTTGTGGCCAAGTTGCTTGTCCTGTTGAGATTTCTTTGCTTCTCGTTGCCTTTACCACAACCGTGTTTGGTGGCTCCTATTATTGGATAATGGATTTTTAGAGATTCAGTAAATTTTTATTGCAGGTTGATCCTGTTACATCTGGCTTTTTGTATGATAAAGAATTCATTGTTTGCTCAATTGATCTTCTCTCCGGAATTGCTGAGGGTCTTGGTAGTGGGATAGAAAGTTTGGTAATCCTCTTCTTCTAACCTTTTCTTCCATTGTGAAATTGCTCATTTTGTTCTCTGTACGAAGTTGGTTCAACTTCTGCCAAAAAAAAGGTACATGCAATTTTCTGTTATTTTCTTTCATACTATCCACCCTTGAATCAATGCAAAAATTTATTGTGTTCAGTGGCTTATAGCTTGGTTGCTTTGGTTTGGAATGCAATTTTGCTACCTTGCTTTGGAAAAGAAGGAGTACTTTGTTTAAGATTTAACAATTTGCTTATTTATCCTGGATATAGCACTGATGGAGTGCAAATTGTATATTTACTTGCTGACCATGGATTGCGTTGTGTGCATTTGATGCTCTATAATCATGCATTTTGCTGCAAACATGTCTTCCTTGTTGAATAATCTAATGAAGTTCCATCAGCAGGTTTCACAAAGCAATTTAAGGGACCTGCTTCTGCAATGTTGCATGGATGATGCTTCTGATGTTCGGCAAAGTGCTTTTGCACTCCTTGGTGACCTTGCAAGAGTAAGTTGGAACTAGCTGACTGAATTTAACTTTCCTCTCCACTCCCTTGCTACTATTTCAGAGCTGGGAAGCTAACTCATGTGACAGTCTAAAGAAAAGGCAGCTAGGTAACCCTGGGCCACAAGATTAGTGACCGGCTCTTGGGTTCTTTATTATTTTACATTTGGTAAATATCGATGCCTTATGGTGATTTTTTGATCTAGGTATGTGCTGTTCATTTGCGCCCCCGATTGCCTGAGTTTCTTGACGTTGCAGCCAAACAACTGGTTAGTGAATCTCGTGTCTTGATTTTATGAGCATTATAGTTGGCCAGCAGCATATTTGCATAACAAAAATGCTTCATGCAGTGCACTCCTAAGCTGAAGGAAAGCATTTCAGTAGCAAATAACGCATGTTGGGCTATTGGAGAATTAGCAGTTAAGGTCAGTAGATGGCTTTTCTGCAATGTATAGTTGACTAATATTCAGTAGAATGTCAGAGTGAAGTGTGTTTTAACATTATAGCAGTTTTATTTATTCTTGTCGGGTTCCAAAGTTTCAATATTGTTGTGGCACGGTCCTATTGTCAAAATTGCTGATGGTGGTGGCTGGAAAATTATGGCATATAATGAATTCAGTATCTTGTTATCATTTTTTTTTTCTGCCTCATCTTCATTTTTCATCTGCATGCTATGACTTGGAAAATTTAAGACCCAGTTGGGAAATGGACAGAGGATATTGGGTGAACCTAAGGACATAAAATGCACTTCCTTTAATACAATGAGACTTGCTGTTAAGCTCTCTTGTTTGTGTTCATTTTTTTTTTAATTAACGGTGACAACATTTGATTTTATGCTTCTTACAATGTCAGGTTCATCAAGAAATCACTCCTATTGTTATGACTGTCATGCCATGCTTGGTTCCAATTCTCCAACATTCAGAGGTAATGGTCTCCATGTTATTATTGTGTGCGTGTTTTGCTCATGATATTTATGATGTGATTTCTGGTGCTGAGCAGGAACTGAACAACAAGTCACTCGTAGAAAATAGTGCAATCACACTTGGGAGGCTTGCATGGGTTTGTCCTGAAATTTTATCACCGCACATGGAGCATTTCATGCAATCATGGTGCATTGCTTTGTCCATGTAAGTATTAGTCCATCTTCATCTATGTTCATGGAACATTTCTTGCAATCATAAAATTAACAAAAGATTAACATTGGCAGGATACATGATGATATTGAGAAAGAGGATGCCTTCCGAGGTCTATGTGCAATGGTATGCCTTTACTCATAATTTTTTATTATCAGAATTGAATGCATAATTAAACTTATGGGTGTTCTAAACATCTCAGGTCAGAAGAAATCCTTCTGGAGCTCTAAGTTCACTTGTTTTCATGTGCAAAGCGATCGCAAGTTGGCATGTAAGGATGGTGGTGCTGCTTGAATCTTATGAGTTATTTTTTTTTGAAATGATTTCATATGTCATTGCCTGGAAACCTATTTGTGTAGGAAATAAGAAGTGAAGAGCTACATAATGAAGTTTGCCAGGTGTTGCATGGTTATAAACAGGTCAGAAATACATCTCACTTGTTTGATATGATTTACCATATAAATTCTGGTCACCTTTCAATGCCATGGAAGTCAAGTATTTTGAAAATGATATTGATAACCCTTGGAAATATCGTGCAAGCTATTTGATTTCTTAATAAAAATTTATAGTAAAAATCCCTTTTCAGATTGTTTTTTCTGTGGACGAGGACATGAAGCTTGCAAATTTGTGCAGGCAAAATTAAAGTGGAAAAAACCCCCTTCTACTGTCTACCCTTTGCCCTCCTTCACTAGGAAAAGAGAAAGGAAAATGAAAAGAACAACCTAAAACCTAAAGCAAAATGGATTTGTTTTGGAATTATTTCTTCCAAAGCAGTTGAAATCATTTACTCTATCCTGTTCTTTGGATTTGTGTTCTAGAACTTCTGGGTGTAGGATCTCCAATACAAAGGGGATCTTCTTTTGTATCACTGTGTACGTGGTTAATGTAAATTCATTTCCTATTATAATAACTTGTGGGCAACATTGATTCATACATGATTGTTTGACAATGAATGTGATTACAGATGCTCAGGGATGGAGCATGGGACCAGTACATGTCTGCATTGGAGCCCCCAGTGAAGGAAAAACTTTCGAAATATCAAGTTTAATCCTATTGTGATCTTTTTCTGCCGGAACTCATCTTCAGCTTGTGGTTCTTTTGAGCTAACACCTGCATTACTCGTGATCATCATTTTGTGCATTTCCCTATGAGTTGAGTTGTGAGTTACTATTTAGGGCATGGACCAGGATGTCGTCGCGATTTTTTTTCAGACAGAGCATCGGTGTTGCCATATTTCCTAGAAGCTTGAAGTTGATCCTCTTCAAAACCCAGACAGTTTTTGGTTTTAGAAAAACTATCATATGGGGTTGCGGGAATGATGTAAAGTGGTGCAGTTTTCCAAGCTTTTAGATAGATGGTGGTTTCAAATGGTTAAAAGCGAGGACTTCAAGCTTCAAATATTTCTCTTACTTTATTGATCAAGATTATTTCTGCATTTTTTCGGTTTCAGTGGGATAGGTTTCTGTGTGATTTCCACACGTTTTTTTCTGGTACAAGGGGTTTTTACATCGTTCCCCAACTGTTATAAGTTTTCGGCTTCACATAATCTCCCCCAAAGTTCGCTACAAAAATAGGGTGATGGATTCAGTGATTCCTGTTTCCTTGAGAGATTGAGATTTGACTTGTGTGGGCAGTGATGTACCATGTAAAATTCTTTCTTTTGGATTTTGATTGTAACAATACCCAATTTGCTGTTAAATCAGAAATTGTTATTTACCTTGATCATATAATAAAGCTTTCTTCTTTCTGGTTTGAGAACGTATTTCTGGTATCAGCTTATGGTTTGCTGGGTAGTAAACTTGCCTTGGACTATTCTCTATTGCTCACTTGCAATCCTGTTTGGTCATGCTAGAATTCATATCTCTGTTTGGAGTTCAGTCCTCTATCAAGGTGGGTTTTCCTTGGAAGCGAGGCTAACACGGCCCAGAACAGAGTCATCTGAAGCCAGAGCAACAATCAGCAGCGCCGCAAGAACAGAGAGTGAGCATAGCAGTTCTCAGCTGCACAAGACCACCGAGAAAATCTAAGAATCTTCAAATCGAATTGGTTTTTAACTTGGCACAACCAAACTTCTGACTAGAATTGTACGAAAGACGATAACCATCCAGATTAAAAATCCGCGGCTGGTGGTATCGATAAGCTTTGTTTCAAATTAATTATGATTCTACCACTGAAATGAGATGAGATTTTATGCTACATACCGTGTTTTATATTATGGCTGTGACATGGATGCTTTCTTTCAGACACAGAAGAGAGACTAAAACTCACATCATACAGTTAAAACTTTGTATTCAACGTTGAATCACGAGATTATAAATGAAACCCAATAAAGACTGAGTTAGGACCTACGATTGGAGGGTACTGTTTAGCCTTTAGGAAAATGAAGAGTTGGCAAGATGTTGCCCTGTCCATGTTAAACCCAGCGGCAGCAGAGTGAAGGAGATGCTACAAATTTGCTGCTGCTTAGATTGTTCTTGAACTGTGACATTTCACTAAGCATCACCTTTTGGGGCCAATATATTATTGTTATGTGAAATTTTGGTCCAATAAAATGGGAACAGAGGGGGCTAGTATGATTTGATGTCCCTTATTTTCTGATCGAGAAAGGTCCTTCCACTAGGAAATCAACATGGTAGGATTTCGAGGATGGCCGTCTTTAGACGGTCAAATTCATTGATTTTAACTAGCCTTGTGGAGGGGATTTTTTCCATTTTGTTGGCTTTCATGGAGGGTTGTAAGGCAGCTAATTTGTTGATACCGAGGAGGATTATAATACATTTTTAAGCCAAATATACTTCTGTAAAGCAAGATTTACCACGGTACCAAATACAAACTAACCCAAAGCCAGATCAAGGTACACCATTTGATACTAGCAAATCCCTACCGTGGCTTTTGTAATTGTGATGACTTAAATTATAATTATATGATATCTCTGCATTTCATAAATCTATTTCACCACCAAGTCAACATGGATTTAGGTTATTTGGTATTCCTATATGGCCGGTGAACGACCCTAGGAAATGTGACCTGTTAGCTCATATTGGAGATCAAGAAGTCTTTGTTTTATAACTTTGTATAGCAGTGTCAAATAATTTTTGAATACCAATTACCAGCAAAGAGTCAGATTCTTTGCTCATTAATGGGAGACATATGTACATTTTTTAGGCTAGAAGAACTGATGGTTTTTGGCTGCTGCCGATTCTAACCTTTCCCAATTTTCTTTTCTCTTGATATCTTCTTGGCCAGCTAAGTACTCTTTGTGGGCTATTTCTTCCAGGCACTTGTCATATAAATTTGGATCCATTTCTTCTATCATTGTCTTCACATTTTCTGTCAGTTGTTTTACACTCTTGCTCCAGTGCCACTTCAGGTTCTTTTCTACGCTTTCTACTACCACAGGAAACACCTCTTCCATCATTGATGATGCCATCTTCACAAATTGTTCATTGTTCCACACGTATAGTGCACGTTCTGCAACCTGAATTTCAAGTTATTTAGGCCTTAGCGTATTATGATCATTAATAATTAAACCTTGATGACATCCATAAGGGAAAAAGAAGGGACAGAAAATGAAAGAAGCCTATAGAAGAAAGCTTCTTGCAGATGTATAGCAGATGCAAAAAAAACCGCAAGACCTGAATTGTGTTCACAAGATCCGCTTGTAAACAGTGCAATTAAGCTCAACTTACTAACAGGTCATCTCTTAACATCATCAAACAAAATGGGAGGTTTTTCGAGGCCTGATTGTATATCTTGTGACCACTTTCAGGACCTTTCCCCTGGGAGGAAAAGGAGCCTTCAGGAACCACTAGAACATGATTTACTGTTTCATGAACCCAAAGCACAAGAAGAATTAAAAAGGTACTGAATCATTATCCTTTCTCTCATGAATTGTGATGGGAGAATGTGAGAAAGGGAAGGTTGAAATCCCAAATCCAAGTGGCCTAGAAACTATCAAGGAATTCTTATGAGGATGTATCATGGATCATAATTAGCGTACCTGTGAGTTCGAACTGTTCAAGCACCTCGAAATTTGGGTACATATAAGCAAAGCTAACTTTCTATAGTGATCAGGATCTATATTCTCGACCAGTTCCTCCAATTCATCAATGAGCAGAACTTCTTTCTGACAATTTGTGGCAGGCCAATACTTTAAGATCCCTCTAACAACAGTCCCACCAAGCATTGGTTCCTTCTGCACAAATTGATTAACACAAAAGGCCAGCTGTCTATGGTAAACTGGCATCCCCTTGGCCTTGTGCAAAGGAATAAGCACTCTCATCAAGAACAGCTTGTGCTCTTCTTTCAGTGGCACAGTAAAACCATTGATGATGCTTCCCCATATCTCAAGCAGCTCACCAATCCCAGAATGCTTCTCTGACTCGAAAACATAGTACAAGAAAACATCATTCATAGATTTCCTCATGATTGCCCTGTAGAAGGTGAACTTGGAATATATCCGGTGGTAAACATTCTTCAGACACTCGCGTTCTCTTCGGTCTTCGGTCTGAAAGAGGGACAGAAGGTTGACAAGGAAACGTTTATCAACATAACCACGGAGAACTTTGGGATCAATACTGAGGACCAGTCGAAGCAGAATGTCGTAAACTACTTGCAGGTGTGGCCAGGCAGGCGAGAGAGTGGAAACGAGGTCTTCATCATCAGGTAATTCACAGACGACGATTCGTTTGGCAGATGGCGGGAGAGGCCTGAAAAGGTTTGCCGATAGCATAGACACAAGAGGGCGTATAATTTCTTCAGGCAGGGGCTTTTTGGGTTTCTTCATGAAAGAAAGAAGCTGGAAGAGCTTTAATCGCTTGACATCTTGCTCTGAGGGAGACTCTAAAGGATCGGTGAAAGTGAAGATGGAGCAACAGTGAGATATAATAGACAAGATTTCTCCATATTCAGATTCAATGATAGACTGCTTGCTCCTTTGGGGACTGTAAATCTTAGTGCCAATGCTATTGTTGGCCTCCAAATCAAAGAGGTGTTGAAGGGTGGCAGATTTTTTTGTTGGAGAAGCTTTCGGTGTGTTTCTGAGAACACCCATTTTCTCCCTCTTATGCTCTTCTTTGCTTAATATTTCTATCACAGGGGAGGAACTAGAAGAGCCTGGTTATAATTTTTTTTTTCAAATGCTGAAAGAAAGAGAGAATGTTTTCGTGTTGCTTTCGATCTTTATTGCCTTTTAGGGCATGCAAGAAATGCCAAAAAAGACAGCGATGTTTTTTAGACAAGAAGTTGTAATATCCGAAGAAAGGAGTATAGAATATTTCCCAACCCACAAGTAACAAATGCGACGAGACATTATCTGCATCAAGGAGTATTTCGTTGTTCTAGCTACTCATTTGGATGATTGCCATGTGGTGGGTTTCTTTAATTACTGACAGCTTGTTGCAGCTCACATGGAGGCGCGAGCAAGTGTGAGAACTCTAATTTAATGTAATCCAACGTCACAAACATGTGCCCCACCAACCCGTTCGTCCCTGTAATTTTTCTTTAGATTAACTTGGGTTTTCGAATCCACTTTTAAATTAATTTCATAATTTTAAAATTAATAATTATATAAATTTTTAATAATTATTATATAAATAATTAAAAATTTAAATCTAAAATTAAAAAAAAACCAAACTTTTTAATTTTAAAATTCTTATTACTTGAACACCACCACACCACCTGACTGTTATTCATCTCTGCATTTTTCACCCTGCGGTCAAGGTCCTTCATGTTGTCGCTGATTATTGCTGCCGGTGTCTTCAGTCCGGTTCTCTAGGTATGCAAAACTCTTCTTCTTCTTTTCTTAATCTGAGGAAACCACCTTTTAAAAAGTATGTTTTATGGTTCAGAAGTGGGTAAAACCTTGTTTATTCCTGGTTTTTATAAAAAACACATGTCTCGAACTTAAAATCTTAAAATCTATTATCCAGATCTGAAACTTTTTATTATCATACCATCCTCCTCGGAGACTCTAGGTATATTATTCCTGCAAGGCCAAATCGGGAAGGGGGTTTCCGATCAACTTCTACGACACGGCCTAGTCAGTACCTTTCCTTTTCTTATTTAAAAATATAATATTTCTTATTGCGCGCGCGCGCGAAAGTATTCTATCCTATGCTCCTTTTACACACAAATCTTTCTTTATTACTTCTCCTTTAAATATGTTTTTCATGTTTGAAACTATCGTGATTGAATTCATGTATCTCTGTACTAGTAGGAAAAAAGATCGTTTCTTTCAATTCAAAACGATGCGTCTCGTTTGCTTTTTTCTTTCTTCTCTTATCTTTTTTCGGCTGGTTTGTAGGAGTGCATGCTCCGATGCGGGTGGCTAGCATGCTGCTCATGGCTGTTCTAGGCGAGAAAGCGGAAGGTTTTCTCGTTTTTCATCCCCTTTCATGTTTGTGCTTTCAGATTTTCCTTTATATATCCTACTTCTTTCCCTTCTCTCATTTTCTCCCCCTCCCCCTTCTCCTTCCCCTTGCTCCCATCCTTCCATTAGATCATATTGGGTTTCTGTTGTTTTAACTGTTTTCTCTACTTAGCTTTCGGAGTTCCTTTACTCGTCCTTCCTTTCACGATCCTTATCTCGCAGGCCCGTACTTCTTTCTTCCTCTTCCCCTTGTTAAATGAAGGATCCTTCTCGGAGGATCTAGACCTCGATTTGGTTTGAGTTGAGGCGCCGGCAGCAATAATCAGCAACAACACTTGATGTTTTTTTTAAATAATCTTCTTGTTTTGGCTTTTACGTAAGTGCTTACCAGCTCTCGAGTCTTTTTCTCATAAGCGAGTCATCCGTACCTGAACAGGTACATTAGAAACTTTTTCGTAACCCATGAAAATGTGAGGGAAATAATCGTTCGTTATCTGACGTGCACAAAGGTCAGTGATGATAAAACTGAACGAATTTTTCTCATCCACTTTATAGGGTGAAATAACGAGCCAAGGCCTTCATTAAGCCCCTGAACATTCAATTTCTGGATCCGAGCCGAATGGTAGCCATGTTCCAACTTATGCTTCGAGCTTTTCTTGCCTATGCCATATATATGCAGATATAAGAAAAAATTGCAGAACCAAGAAACTAAGATGATAATATAATAATATTATCCAAGTACCATTATCCCTGAATGTATAATACAAGAAACAAAGAATTCAGAGAACCATCAATTTGCCCAGGACAATTGTTGTAGAATCAAACATCTAATGAAGACGAGATAAATGCTGCATGATTCAACACCTGGGCTCTAGCATTGAGAATCACTGCAGTACTTTCGAGCTTTTATATACTTGACTTGCGCAATCCTTGCATGTCATATATTTCTTATCCTGATACTGATGTCTTAATATAACCACACTATGACATTTGCAACTGGTGGTCACCTGGTCTCATATCCATAACCATAAGCATTTTCAAGCATTGATAAGCATGTAAGGCGGATAAAGAAGGATAGCACTGCATTCGCATTTTTGAGGTAAAGAAAGAAGGAAAAATCAAAATTGTGAAAAGCATTCATGGTTCATTACGCTGGATGGATCGATGAAAGATTAGAATTTTTAGAAAACCTGAACCACCTCTTATTCTCCTCGTAGTCAAGACAAGCCCTATAATCACAACAGTGATGCTACTAGCCATGACTTTGAGAGAAGCAAGTGCCAACACCACTAAAAATTATCAAGGCTGGAGGAATGCAGATCAAAATTGCTCCTACTGTTCCAACAGGTATCTTATACGGCCTTGGTGCTGCCGGGGATTCAATCCTTAATTTTATAAATGCTATATATAAATTCCATAATCATTCCAAAACATTATAAGAAGTACACACCAGATGCAGAGAATAAAATCCTAGCAAGCGGGGTTCCATAACGAGTCCTCTTGCAAGAGATCTCTGGAAGCATCCCACGCTCTGCCATCCCTAGAAGTTGGAAAGAGTCGCTGCTCATCTCTGCCACAAACATGCCCGTGTTTGACAACGCAGAAGCCCCTTGGATCCAAGATATCAACCATACACCACCTAACATTTTAACAGTATCAGAGAAATACCCATCAGACCACATTTGCTGGCCAGTGGAACTGCTCCAGTACAAATTAAGAGAGGAAAGAAGAACGCAGAAACATCCAAGACAAGAGCATAAAAAAGAGCTTTTGGACGAGTTGTATTCCTCTCCTGCAAAAGTACTGATGGAATCCCAGTAGTTGAGGTTCCAGAGCAGTGTGTTTTAGTACAAACCTCAGTCCACATTGCTGAAATCTACCACAAACCACCTTGAGGGCTCCAGTTTAGGGATCGCCAGCAGTCCCATTAACACAAAAGGAAGCAGGAAAAACACCCCTAGGAGTATAGCAACCCATCCCACTATGCTTAAACCCCTGCAGTTCATGTAAGTGTGGGCCACCGTCAAAGCCAGAACCGTTACTATCCTAGGGAAACCACCCACCAATGCCAGGATTACTGATTTTTTATAGTCGAGGAACAGTGACGGATACGGTGCATCATCGATAACACCACCATTTCATCCAACCTTGTTGAAACCCCCAGTGAGGACCCTAAGCTGACGAAACCCAAACAACATATCCGCCATTTTCTGGGAACATGGTACCCCTTTCTGCAGTTATCAAACCTTCTGGAAGAGCTAAAAGTGGTCCAGCTGCCTGAACACTGTCTTCAACTCCAAAAATGTCCCCCCGGAAACTTCATAAAAGATCAAAACACCAAGCCGTATGATTGAAACCTTCTGAAACTTATCTAATGTTGGAAAGGATGCTTCTTCTAAAGCTACATACCCAGCACTGCTCGGTCCCACCATTTCAGCAGAGTTTTGCAATAAATTCCTTCGTTTTTTCAGGAAATATAAAATCTCAAACAAGTTTTACATAATAAAACCATCATTGTTGGTCACTAAACAACTCAGAAATAGATATAAAGAACAAGATACTGAAGCAAATTACCTTCTGTTTCAAAGGAACACGACCATTTTCATACCTAACTCAAGAAATAAAATCAAATTGATATATTAAAAACGTTTTCTTTTTAAACTGCATTCTTTTAGTAAGGTTTGTGTAACTGAAAAGATAAGAGAGATCAGCACAACCGCAACTCATTTTAATCCAACTCAAACTACTTAACCTCCTGTCCCTTTCTTTCTTTTCCTTTCTCTAATCTCCTAAACAGAAGATCAAAAACTTCCAGGCTCACAAAACTACTCCTGAACGAGCAAGATGGCCATGCAAAATTCCTCTCCTATACTAATTTTTACAATGGCAAGCCAGTTACGAGGCAAGCTCCATTTTCTTGCAAGCATTTTCAATCACTCGAGTAAAGCTCAAAACTTTTGTTTCAAACTACATTTATCGATATCTATAACAATTCCATACTAACCAAAAAAATCCAATTGGTGTTACTTCTCTGCAATTTCAGATGCATAAACAAAAAAAAAAAAGGAAATTTTTAGTAACTAATAATAGAACTTCCACTAAGATTTCAGAATATATATATAAAGAACTTTCCTTCCCACTAATACATGTAACAAACGATTTTTCTCAGCACTTTCCTTTTCTTCTTGTTTAACACTACTTGTTATCCTCAGGTAAGCTTTCGCGCACTAATAAAAAACAGGAGAATGCACAGCGAACCCAATAGAACTGAAAAAAGAGAACAAGCAAGAACAGTCAATGAAGTCTAAAGACAATTCTCCCCAGCACTCAACAATATAAACAACAAGCTCACTGGATTAAAAGAATGTAAACAACAAGCAATTTTTAGTAACTAATACTAAAACTTCCTCCAACATTTCAGAATATTTATAAAAAAAATAAGAGAACTTTCCTTCCCCCTGATATATGTAACAAACAATTTTTCCCAGCACTTCCCTTTTCTTCTGGTTTAATACTACGTGTCCTATTTCCGACGCATCGTTTTTGTTTCTATGTTTATCATTTTATCTTCAGTTACAGCTTAGTGACCATGATGAAAATCGAAACGACATGTCAAGTGAGGAGAAGAGATAAAAAAATAAAATAAAATTGATCATATATTTGCTCCTTACTTCCTTGTCTTCTTGGTATTTGTTACTAGGAATCTTTTATTTATTTATTTTTTAATTTACTGTCAATTATTAACATGTGTTAGGTAAATGTTCACTTTTCAGATTATCTTGAATTAATGGGATAATTAAGTTAGATG